AAATTTCTTGGAAACCTTAATATGTTTCAGAGCAATTTAAATCCTTCAATGATTTTCATTATACGCATATCACATTTTTCTTGTATTGCCAGATTAAAATTTGAAATGACGACATCCACCACAGAAGAACATGTCTTTATATAATCAATACCAGGATAATTACAAATCTTCTTGTGACACAAGTCATCTTTATGTCTATCGACTTGACATTTTTTCGCACAAGAACACATTTATACCTCCATTGGCTTTATACTTTCAGGTGTTGGGACTATCCGCCCAACTTCATATTTTTCAGGTGAAATCAATTTTCATTGCGTATTTTTCATTTGGCCAATCATTTATCTGTCCAAATTTCATGACAGATTTGAGCTCAAGATCCTCGTCAATATTAATAACATTGAGCGCTACATTATATTAACAATATCGTCGACGATCATTTTATATTGGTTCTACTATTACCCAATAAAGACATAACTTATTGAGATTTATTTATCTTATTATTTTCAGGTACCTGAGCCTCTCCCGTGAGGTCTTATGAAGTGTTATGTCGTGGTGCTCTTCTAGAGCACTTGCCTCCTTATTATGACTATCTTGAACATTTGCTCATCTCTTTCTTAAAGGAGTTTTATCTTTGGAACCGATTAGTCTATTATGCTTCATGCATGCCATAGACTCTATTCATTAAGAATTTTATTTTATTTGGAGCATTAGAAACTGAATATGACATTTAGTTTTGGGTCAGCAAAAATGTCTGGCAATATTTTACAAATGAATTATCACTTGAACTTCAAGTTCACATTTTCTCGTACGAGAATCTAGATGTATTCATAATAATTCATTACATGCATTACTTTTTCAGCTGCCCAATTTCTGCCCCTATTGTTGGGGTTACCAACACATATCCCTAACCTTATTTGGGGATCCATCTTTATGCATTGTGGTGGAACAATTAAATCATATAGCACATTCATATTTTTAGATGAAAATTATTTGGTTCCTGACCCTGAACCGATTGTGATAGAGAGAACTTATCATAATTTGGCTACATGCGTACAAGTGTTGTTGTATATTAAATAATATATCACATACAAAATTTTATTTTGGCAGTTTTGCACTCATAACCAATGGTTTAGATATAATTGGAGGCATACAAATTTCTGCTAAACTAACTTGGATTTAAACCAGTATTATCAAGATAAATCATCATAATTTATATTCTGAAACTATGCTCTAATAATTTGAGCAATCAATCTTGCAAAAGCCAAATTGCAAGTTGATAACAAATGCACACGTGACTATAGTATACATCTATTAAAATCATATAATAGTAAACGGTCCATATGGCAGGTGACTAGGCTCATATATTTATCACCTTTTATTTGTTCCAGAAATCAAGAGATTCAATCTCAACCTTAACTGATATATCATGAGAAGAAGCAGCACAAGAGAATTCTTAAAGAATCTTCTATTTCTTCAATATATGCCAATATAATTCTCAATTAATTTTTCGCATCATAATTGAACCGGGATGGTCAATCGGTCATGCCAACTAATATTTGTTTCAGTAAACCTCTAGTTTACTTGTGACATATGATTCTATCATCATGCTTATATTTGTATAGTACAAATAGAAAGAAAATCGGGTAACCTTTCATATTTACCCGTTATTATTATAGAAATATGAAGATATTCAACATTCCTTTCATTTATAGTCTCAATATGCCAACTACTTTGACTTATACATTTGAAACTCAAAAAGTTTCTTTTGAGACTTTACAATATCAATGTCGTAAATAATTTTATTCATCCGGATAGTAACAAATTAATTTTTCCGGAGCTCTTAACAACTTTTGTACTACAAAATCTTTTGTCACACTATTTATATGGTAAATGTCTCCTTCACGGAGAAACTATATCATAATAAATTGTCATGGTTAAAATTATCATAAGCAAAATTATTTCTTGCTTTAATTTTGCCTTTAATAACCTTTTATAAGGCACAACAAATTTTGTTTTTTTGGCGAATCACACGTACGCGACCAATGACATATTCATGTAACCACACAATAATATTTATTCTCTTTATTTCACTCAAACCTCCCTTAGAAGTGAGTTGTGTGGTATTCATCTAATCATGCATTGTATGTCTTTATTCATTACTTTTATCACATATTGCCACATTCACCTTTAGGACTGGGTCTGCATTCTCAATACTTATCACAAGTCACATTCTCTTTAAGGAATGGATCATAATCAGCGGCGTGCTTTATTATTTTTCATACTAATTTGATGGTAAACATTGCCTTCACATTTTGAAGGACTATTTTGAGAATCCTTATTGTTCTCCTTTTATAATCATAGTGATGATTATTATTATTTTGATCTTTGGAACGCACACGTTCATTGTTCAACCACTTGTCTTCATTTAGACTTATTATGTGCCGCTGCCACATTCACTTCAAGAATGGAGCAAATCAAGTGGGACAATATTCATTCCTTTTCATGGAAAATATATTATTTTTCTTTAGTTAATATTATATCATCAATATAGTATAGTGGGACTCAAACCCAATGTCTTACTAATATAAAGGCATGTTAGGCCATAATGAATTAGGACTCAAACCCAACTCTTATCATCATGGAGCATCAGGACTTGATCCTGATGTCTTACCCTCATGGTGCATTGCGACTTGAACTCATTGAAGTTGATATCATTAATAGCAAAGGACAAAAATAATTTCAAATATGAAGGAAATGCTTACCTCTTGAGTTAAACTCTTCATAATGTCATTTGGATATAATTCTCAATAATAGACTTTCGTTTACTCAAATCAGCTAAGTAATTAGTGTCAAACAGATATATGAAAATATAAAATAATATTAAAAATTCACATGTGGTCTTTGTTGCAATAAGCTTACTTCAAGATGAAAGTGATATGACCAGAACATTAAGAAAAAATTATGTATCAAACAGAATAATAGTACTACTAGTTACCATGCACTTTTGTGGAAATTAAGTATTTTGCTCTCTAGAAAAGCAAAAAGATATAGCATAACCTTTAAGTCAATCAGGGAATCAAAAATAATTGACAAATCTCTTTCTACTATCTACTACTATATGCTTTCCATATAGAAATGATTCAACATGTTAATTTGATAAGAACTATCATCAATGAAAAATTTGGTGTAGTACATACTTCTTGTACTAATATTTTATCTTATCAAAATAAAATAGTTACGAATATTATTATTATTATTATTATTATTATTATTATTATTATTATTATTATTATTATTATTATTATATTTGACAGTAAACTAATGTATAATCATTATAATAGGCATACTAAAATCGTATTATAAGGTAAAACCATAAGCATACATAATAAAATACAATTTTAATTTTGTAGATTATTTAGTATACCACATGCCACCTATTATTTAGTTCATGAAAATTTAACAAGGTGACATCCTTAGCAGCCACATAAATACTAATTTTCTAATAACCAAACCATTGCTTATTCTAAATAGTGGTACAAACTTATTTGGTTTAAAGCTCGGACTTGTTGCTGTAGTAGAAAGACGTGTCTGTAACAATACATACCTTTCTGAATAAAATCTGGATAATTTTGACAATAGATCATCGAGATATACCTTGCCAGAAGTGGAATTCAACCTTGAGGTTAGAGACTTCGTGCTGATAACGTGTTATGAAATATAGCTAAAAGTAACAATATAAAACAAGAAAAAGCAAGTTAAGAGATATAGAGAAAAAGAGAGGAGAAATTCTTATTTCTTCTTCAATTGTGTGTATTTTCCTATCTATTACAAGGCCTTTATATAGGCATGAAAAGTGAAGAAAAATATGTCATTGAATATGTCATTAAGCATAGAAATATGTCATTGAATATGTCATTAAGCATTTGAGAAGATCATGGAGGAAGGGTAGACATCCACCATAATTTGATTTTTCTTATAACACATTGTTAGTTTTCACATGTCTATCCTAGCATACCTCTTCTTACACTTAGATTGAGTCACGGGAAACTCATAAAAAACTAAACATATCTCGGTAATCATTGTCAAGCTTAGGATTATTGCCAAGACGGCTTCGTTCAATGTGCAATTTGCACTTTAATGTGCCAACGCTATTTTTTCCAGCATCTCTCAGGACAGGTAGAGGAGAATACACACCTTAGAGGGTAGGTGAGCACTCAAAGCAGAGGAGAATACGATTGTCTCCCAAAGGATGAAAAGAATCCCATTTCGCAGTCTGGCGGTTTAAAGAAACGTATAACAAACATGGAAGCAAGAGGCCTCCATAAAACTTGACACAAAGGACAGGAAACTAACCATGGTAAAAAAATAAACAAGATGAATGGCATTCAGATGCTTGAGTTTTAAAAAGATAGTACCAATAGGACACCCCTAAACAATGATATTCCTTTTTTGAAGGGTGCCGAAAGCCAAATAATGCATTGACTATTGAGGTACCAGCCGAAGAGCTGCAGATGTAAGCACTTGATGTGCACTGCATCTAATGGGCTATTGAAGCAAATAGGATCATGAATACTATGGATTCTACATTGCTATACTTCAAAGCATAGAATTCTTTGTGCCTCAAACTAGCTCAAAGTCCAAAGGCGTTAGGGCATCAGTACCAATATAGGTTTCGAAGACCTAACCCAAATCGGATAACAATAGGGAGGATCAAACACGAATACGAACGAAAGAAGATCAAGCATAAGCTCAAGCAGTAATTCTCACCTGCCTAGTTTAAGAAATTCATCGCAGGAAACTTATCAGACCACCATCCCAAATTTCGTTGCATTGCGCAAGTACAAGCCACATCTCCTTGTCACAGCAAGTCTCATTAACATCAACTATCAACTCAACACGATGTTGAGTACCTACAGTTCTATCACCTCTGGTAAAAGGTTAACACCACAGCTCTCAATTGAATAAGTGTTTTTGTATGATTTAAGTATCAATCTGCATAGTTAAGGAATATACTATACCTATCACTTCAATAACATTACAATCGGAAATACATAATAGTATGATCTTACTGTCGTACGTATCAGCACCAAAAACATTACAGTAGAAAATTGATGATAGCATAATAAAGAACTTGGAAGAGGAAATACAACCTAATACTCCAGTAATAACTATTATGCAGCAACCCCCAAATTATTTTTTCAAGTTGGAGATACATGAAAAAAGGGGAATCTCACAAAAATCTAGATACATAAAAGAATGGAGAATAGGTACCAAACCAACAAGGGAAAGGAGAAATTCACACCAAACGATCCTTTAAACTAGCACAAACACTTTTGGCTACAACTTACTCAAAGCAAATCCCAACTGAGTCGCGGTTGGACAGCTGCAGCATGGGTGCTTGGTGTGGTTGTAGGTGATGAGAAATGGTCCAGCAATGGCGCTGGTGTGGAATCAAATGTTTCCCATTGTGTCGTTATAACTACAGACCCTGAGCTCGAGTGCTTTGATGGCTGCTGTTGTTTGGTTTTTACCGATTTTTCCTGTTGAACTGGTGATGATGCCTGCTCATTGGAATACCTTTGGTGTTGCTGAGCTGGGGAAGATTGGTCTTTTGTAATGTGATTGCCATTGCTGGTTGTAACTGAATTTTTTATCTTCAACACATCTAATGTTTCAACACACTTTTGCACTCTTCTCACCTGCAAACATTTATCACATTTTGTTTTAGAGATTTTTTCTTTATGAATTAAAAGCTAAGTTGCGGGATTTAAGTTAATACCTGATTTTTTCTCTGCAATTTCACATCACCTTCAGCAATAATGCCATCTAATTGAACCAGCTGATTCATCAATAACTCTATCAGATTTATCAAATCCTTTTCTACAACTCTCCCACCTTTGGAAATTATAGATTCCAGTGCAGAAACCTAGACAATCAAAATGCACGTCACAGTTATCCACAATACCTATATTTTCATCGAAAACTGAATGTATATTTGTTCCAATTTATATGCTCTTATTTAATCCGTTAAAAAAAGAATTATTTCTTTCTAAATTTTGAAAATAATTTAATTTAATCTAATTTTTTATTTTACCTTTAATGAAATATTATAGCTATACCAATATTTATGATTTATTTTACACTATAAATTTTAAAAGTTTTTTAATTCTTCTCGTTAACGCTAAAATGGGGAAGAGGAATATTACCTGTCTAGCCAGCCTATCGACTTCCAAAGTGATCTCTGATATTGTTTTAGCAGCCTTCTCCACTTTAGCATTCTTTCTCATCTCGAGGTACCGTTTTTCTTGGCTAATTGGGTCTTCCATTAGAACAATTTTGGACTTATCCTTCACTCCAGCAATATCAAGAAATGCTTTATTATCTCTCTCTTTATCCTTATACAGTAATTTCTGATCTTGGTGGTGCAATCCCGTTGGCCCCGTCAACATCTTCTTCAGTTCCCCTGCCAATTTGACAACATAAAAACACAATTAGAAATACAAAGACGCTATATAAATGCAGTACTCCCTTTGTTCCAATTTGCTTGGCATAATTTGAGTTGATAAAAAAATTAAAAAGAAACGAAAATTCTTAATACATGTGGTTTTAAATATATATACCATAACTTTTGGGTAGCTATAATAAAACTTGTGTTTTTAAACATGTCATTACAATTCCTAAGCTTATAAAATGAGAAGTATAAAGTTAGTATAAATATATTATTCTTCCGAAATTGAATTAACAAAAAATAATCTCAAACAAATTGTAAAGAGAGAAGTACTACTTAAGTTACAACATACCAAAGGTTGCTTGAGAACTGATATTGATCTCGTGGTAAATGGAGTGATACTTGACCCGAACCCGAATAGTAGGTGGAGGAGGACGGTTTTCACAATCCGGGTTGCGTTTCTGGACCAGCATTCCACTGGGCCTCAGCTCCCACTCCTTCTCGCTCGCATCAGAGCTACCGTTCATCATCGGCGGCATTCCGGTGGTTTTCGTCTTCATTTGCATCATTTTTTTGAGTTTGTAGCTAAAGAATGTATGTAGAAATGATTTGAATTGCTAACGTTGAATTTTGAGGAAGCAGATCAAAGCATTGACTTTTGACACTGAAAGATCTACAGTTGCGTCAGTGTCTAAGGTTCTAATTGTCTGTGACACGTGTACAGAGAAAATGCCGAGAGAAAGAGAGAGAGAGGTGTTTACCAAGTTGAAAGAGAGCTGAATTTGAGAAGGAATAGCAGATCTTATTTGAAGAGCTGAAAATGTAAAGAATCAAAAGGTAAGCGACAAATTTGCCAAAAATATCGAGACACTCGGCCAATCTGAAAGTCCACAGATTTGTCCGATTATTCAGCTTAGGATTTCAATGTTAAAAATAAATCAAAATCTTCGCCTCACCACCAGAAACTGAAGAAAAAGAAAGTGGAGTAATTAATTTGCCATCTGTTAGGTTTGTTCAGCCTGTGGAGAAGGAGGAGGAGAGAGAGATGAAAATAAGATACTTCAAAAATATGTATAAATAAATGAGTGGACAGCGAAACACAAGAAAGAAGCAGAGAACTCTGCTACAGAATTACTTATTTTTTAAAAGGTATAATGTCCATTTAATTATTGGTAGTATATCATTATTATTAAAGTTGCTGTTAGATAATTGGAGAAACGAGGCCAAGGGAAGTCGCCAGAGGCTTGTGCATAAAGCTTGAAAAAGGTAGAAAAATGAAAACTAAAACCGCTTAAAGAAAAGTTCAATGACGAAGGCTGAAAAGTGAAAAGAACTCTTGAGACTTTTTCACCAAGCTTCTACAGGTGTACAATGCAATTATGCAGGTAAGTACATACACTCATCATTTTATTTGCACTAATGATTTCTATGTTGATTAATAGATACCAATCTAGAACACTCGAAACAATGATTATTACATAGACCCAATAAAATTTCCAAGGAATATTGAAGAGTTAAATATAGGGCTAACGCAAGTGAACTCTATGTATTGGAAATTCATCCAATGTCTTTTCTGAACTAATAAGTTGAAACATCTTTCGAATTAGCTTCTTTTTAAATAGTTGCAGTAGTATACGTTCTTCAAACTTAAAATTTCCAGGTGGAGTTTACCTAAATATCTGTTAAAATCTAATTGATATATGCAACAAAGTTAGGAATTTTAACAAGGATATTCAAAAAATTTGATGTGACTTTAAGCAATTTTGAGACAATCTTTGCCACAACAATAAAAATTCCACTTATATCAAGGGAATTTAAAAGTTTATATACACAGTGAAAAAAATATTTTTATACTATTTAGGCAATATAAGTTTCCGGTGAAGGGATTCATTAGTTTTGTGGCTGTTTACAAATTTATTTTTAGTTTTATGACACTACCTCTCTTTTTTTACATATGAGAGATTTACTTTTACACGTAAGAGATTTGTCTTTTACACATAAGAGATATGAAAATGTCATTTTTTAAATTTTAAATTGTAAAGTGTCATGATGTACAAATAGCACAGGGATTCAAGTAAACCTCTTTCATTGACTGTATCTTTGTATTAGTGGTGGCAAAATGGATAAAAATAAATAGTTAACCACCCATATTATCCATTAAAAATGGGTTGGATAATGAACTTTTTAAAAACGGGTCAAATATGGATAAGAACCATATTATCTACTTGGAAAATGGACAATCAATGGATAACTACTGAGTTTAACTTTTACATTTAAAAAGCCTCAAATTGGGGGTTACTCAAGTTTGGGAGACTAGGTGGGCGTTTGGACATAAGAATTGTAAAATTTCGGAAAAAAGTGAAAAACAATTTCAAATGAAAATGGTATTTGAAAATTAGAGTTGTGTTTGGACATGAATATAATTTTGGGTTGTTTTTGAAATTTTGTGAGTGATCTAAGTGAAAATTTTGAAAAGCAGCTTTTTGAAATTTTTTTAAATTTTCGAAAAATTCCAAAATCGATCTTCAAGTGAAAATTTGAAAATTTATGGCCAAACACTAATTTCGGAAAAAAGTGAAAATTTTTCGAAAAAAGTAAAAAATTTCTTATGTCCAAACGGGCTCTAGAAATTCTCCCAAAAGTGATCATATTCAAGAAGTCATGGATATCCATATTATCCGCCGGTTAATCTATTTTTTATCCGTATTAAATATCGGGTCGGATAATTTATTTATTTTTGTATTAACCATTTTCGATCCGTCTCATATCTGATCCGACCCGACACGCCCGTTTGCCTCCCCTACTTTGTATTAAGACTAATTTACATGAATTTTTATACCGATATATTATAATTAGGTACGAGCAAGGACAAATATAGGCTTAAGTGTACGGGTTCTGTGGAACTAGTATACGGTCAAAATAGTTTTCGACCTTCATACGATTGGTGAAGACGGACCGAAGAGCGTCTTCATAATATCGAGATGAGATTTGAAGAAGGCACGAACGAGCTTCGAATTTCGGGGAGATTAAATACCGAGCTCGACGCCATTATCTAGCTCAAGTCTGAATCGAGCTATGAAGAGAAGCGATGGTATCAAGCTTAAGAGCCAGAGACCGACCAATACTAAGCCCGAATCAATACCGGGCCCCGAATCAATATCTAGCTCGAGTCAATATGGAGCTCTGACTTTGGAGACCGGTCAATATTAAGTCTGATCAAGATCGGGCTCATAGACAGGAGCCGTTGCAGCCGCACTAAGGGAGAGAATCTCGGCGGGAATTAGGATAAAGCTAATTTATCATGGGTTCTCCACTATGTATTTTTTTTATATCTAAAGTAGGATCCCTCCACTATAAGAGGGATGGTTATATTTCTCTAAGGAGGGGCAAGACACGGCAACTAAAATACTATTGATACATTCCCATATTAATAGATTATCCTTTAGAGCCTTATACATTGATTCATCTTGCTTATTCATAAATCTTTTCCTTTTTAACTTTGTTTGTATTTCATTGTTTATGGTCAATATTCAACATTTCTATTTATTCTTATGATTCGTGTCAAGCTATATCATATACCCTTAAAACTACGTACAAATTCAACTCTATCCGTTTTTCGGGTAAATAGTTTAGCGCCCACCGTAGGGCTAAGGATAACAGTGGTTATTTAATACGAATCCGCAAAACACACCATTTTACGCTTGTTTTTGGAAGTGTCTTTGATTTCGGATTAGCAACGACAAGCTATCAATTAAATGGCCTTACCTATCGACAACGGAGCTGGTCTTCAAGGTGAGAACAACAACTTGACGCCTAGGGCCGAAAGGCCGCTTGTCGGCGTCGTTGGAGCTCGAGTCGAAGTGCCATTAGACGTTAATTTGCATGCGGCCATTGAGGCAAACCTATGTTCTGAACCTGAAAATAGCATTCATGATGGTACTCAATCTGCAGTTCGAGACACCCATAACGTTGAGAAAAACGGAATCAACTTGCGTATGATTTTCGAAATGTTGCAAGCTCAACAGGTAGCAATAGATCAGTTGCAGAGTCAAACCCAGATACCGAGCAGGCCGGAGCCCAGTCTACCCCGAGAAATCACCCACAGAACGGAACCAGCTATAGTAAGGTCAAATAAGCAAGAGTCGGGGACTAATCCCGAAATTGCTAATATGTTCGAAAAACTGACCAAACGAATAGAATCAGGTAAAAGGAGGATCGAGGCAAACGACAAAAAGGTGGAAACATATAACTCCAGGGTTGATCAGATACTGGGGGCACCACCGATATTGAAGGGCTTAGTTTCCAAAATATTCGTACAAAAGCCTTTCCCCCCAAGCGCGGCTCCTAAACCGATCCTAAAAAAGTTCCGCATGCCCAAAATTCCTAAATATAACGGAACTACTGACCCCAACGAACATGTCACCTCTTACACATGTGCCATTAAAGGGAACAATATAGAGGACGATGAAATCGAATCTGTATTATTGAAGAAATTTGGTGAAACCCCTGTCAAAAGGAGCAATGATATGGTATCATAATTTACCATATAATTCTATCGATTCTTTTGCTATGCTTATAGATTCTTTCGTAAAAGCACACGCTGGGCCATAAAGGTCAAGACCAGAAAGTCGGATTTGTTCAAGGTAAGACAAAAGGATAACGAGATGCTAAGGGAGTTCATATCTCGTTTCCAAATGGAACGAATAGATCTACTACCAGTCACAGACGATTGGGCTGTTCAGGCTTTTACTCAAGGTTTGAACGAATGAAGTTCGATGGCTTCACGGCGGTTGAAGTATAACCTGATCGAGTACCCAACTATTACTTAGGCTGACATGTATAATCGGTACCAATCGAAAATTAGAGTCGAAGACGATCAGTTGGGTTTTGGACCCGCTGTTAGAAGGGACATCAATCGAGAACAAGGTCCGATCAGGGACCGATACCGACCATATAGTAGAGACCACAGGGTCAATGAATCGAGACGTAACCCCGGACAAGGCAATAAAAGAAGTGCTCGAGGTCAAGGGTCTCGGGGACTGATGAACAGAAATGGGTTCGATAGGCCTACCGGACCTAAGGAAGCACCACGGTTCTCGGAGTATAACATTAGCATCGATGCATCCGCCATCCTGTCGGCTATCGAATGCATCAAAGACACTAAATGGCCTTGATCCATGCAGACCGATCCTGCCCAGAGGAACCCCAATCAAATGTGCGAATATCATGGCACCCATGGCCACATAACAGAAGATTGCAGGCAACTAAGAGAAGAAGTAGCCTGGTTATTCAATAAAGGACACCTTCGAGAATATTTAAGCGACAGGGCCAAAAACCATTTCAAAAACAGGGATTTTGGTAAACAAAATGAACAAGAAGAACCACAGCACATCATCCACATAATTATCGGTGGTGTCGATACCCCTCAAGGGTCGGTGCTTAAACGCACTAAGACATCGGTTATGAGAGAGAAGCGACCTCGGACTCAGGATTACTCACCCATAGGAACCCTGTCCTTTAATGATAAAGATGTAGAAGGAGTTATGCAACCTCACAACGATGCACTGGTAATATCCGTACTTATGAATAAAACTAAAGTTAAGCGTGTGTTAATTAATCTAGGTAGCTCGGCCAACATTATTAGATCAAAGGTCGTAGAATAGCTCGGTCTAAAGGACCAGGTCGTACCCGCGACTCTGGTTCTAAACAGATTCAATATGACATGTAAAACTACCAAAGGCGAGATAATTCTGCGATAAACGTGGCCGAGACCATCTAGGAAATGAAGTTCCATGTAATCGAAGACGATATGAGGTACACCACCCTTTTTGGAAGGCCATGGATCCACAATATGAGAGTTGTACCTTCGACCCTCCACCAGGTTCTTAAATTCCCAACATCAGAGGGAGTCAAAATAGTGTACAGAGAACAACCGGCCGCAAGAGAAATGCTCGCCGTCGAAGAAGCAATTCTGATATCCTCACCTTCATCAACAAAGGGGTCAGACTCGAAGGGAGAACGTGATGCCAAATAGCAATCACATACGTCAGCTTCAACCCAACTAGAAAATCAGAAGATTGACAAAGCGATCCTCCATGGTCCCCGATGATTCCGACGCTACCC